CTCATTGCCTTCTAGCTACCACTCTATCTTCCTCTTTCCTATGTAAGCCAAAATTTTAGGGAAAGTTTTGTCCATTTCCATACATTCTACTCTTTCCTCAAAACACTTCCCTTCTGAATCAGCACAAATCCAATGATCGACTGATATGGATGTGAAGACCTGACCCTTTCTCCCAACTTGAGGCAACTCTACAGGGCCGTCTCAGCTTCACTGAAGCTGCATCACAACTCAGCTTCTTTCTCTGCCCAATCCTGTTTCCTTGCTCTTCTTCACTAGTGCTGATCTCAAGAGTATTCCCCAATAAACATCCTATACACTAATGTTCATCTTATAATTCTCCAACATGCAACCTGCTCCTTCAATATTCTAGGCATCACTCAACTCTCTTTCTTATCACTCTTAACAATTGGAACTTTGTGTAAATTCATATGATTCTTTGTCTTGTGTTTTCCATCAAGCTGTATCTCAATGAAACAAGAACTGTGTCATTTTCTGCTCACTAGTGTTTTCTCAGTGTACTTGGCACATGGTAGATGTTTGGTGAATAGCTAGTTGTTATATGAGTATGTAAATAACTTAATGCCTGATAATTCACCATTAGGAATTCATTTCATCAGATTAAGTTTTTGAGTTTTTAGTTAAAATGCAATTGAATCTTATATTTAGTGAGTGTAATCTCTCAGTATCCCAGGTTGAGGAAATAAGACTTTCCTGAGGAGAAAGGTCTTTAAGACTGAGCTCAGGTAGGATGTCTAGTGAAAGAAAAGAGCTAAATGCTAATGCAAGATCAACCTTAAACATAAAGTAATTGAAAGGTAAAAAGCATGGCTTACAGATTCTGTCAAACATGGATTTGAGGCCAGGCTTTGTCACTTATTAACTGTGTGATTTGTATGAAGACTTAAAATAATTCCAGCTGGGAAACACTAGGCATAAAGTAAACTCATGATAAGTATTGGTCTCTTCTCCATATACTTCTACATCCTCTTCCACCTACTTTGTGACTTTGTTTTACAAAAGTGCTGCCCATGAAATTATCTGAATATCCACAGAGGAAGAAAGTCAACATGGAGATGTAGTTAGGCTCCTTCAATTCAGTTGCTTTTTATTTTAAAATCTTTCCAGTTTCAAGTTTATGTCAGTGAGCTTCTCATCACAATCTTGTAATGGTTGCTATTGAATCTGGTCACAAGTAATGAACTGAAACAAAGTATCATGGCAAAACTATGCAAATCCACCCATATCTAAATCAAACTAATGGGCATATTCTCACACAACTGCCAGCTAATTTACTTCATGCTTCTGGATATTGATTCTACTTGGAATGATGGGAAATCTGTCATGCTTAAGATGCCATCTGTTCCAACTGCCAATGGAAGTTATTTCTCCCTTCCAAGGTCTGTTGGCCAAAAGCTTATCCCTCATTTCCTGCAGGTTTTCAAAAGCTTCATTAGGTTCCTAGTCAACATTCATTGGATGCAGAATTCAAGCTATTTATTTTTGTTACTTAACAATTGACTAATTTTATACTTCTAGTCAGGAGTATCCTCTCTACTACACACACACAAAAAAAAATAATGGAGGAAGGGAGACTTGGAACATAGAAGCTTTGTGGGGAAGATATCAGAATTTGTAGATAGCCTAACAATGTAAGTTACAGATACTAGATTCCATGAAGCCACAGAGTACAGGAAGAGGGATAGATAACAGATAATCAGTTTATTAGAGAAAGAAGCCAGAAAATTTTCAAAGAAAAGTGTCTAGAAAAATTAGACAAAGAATCTTCTAAGAAAAATTATGGAAATTCTACTTCCTAGAACACTAGGGTCATGTAAAATTCTGTGGCTGGTACTATAACAAATAAATACTTGCCCATTTTGTACTGATTCAAACTTGAGTTGGTGATATATTTTCATGCTAGATCTTATGGAACCAAATGAGTGAGTGATCTAAACAACTCTACAAGGAATGAAATATCTAAATCTAAACAGTGAAGTCTAATGAACATTTTATTCATTAGGGAGTTTTAAAATTGTATAAATGTATTTCTTCTCAAGGCATGTATTTCTTCTCAAAGGTATATTTCTTCGCAAAGGCACAGTTTCTTTGAAGAAAATTCACTTTGTTTAAAAAACTGTCACTATATTCAGGACACACATGTTGTTCTAATTCTGAACATCTCTAAAGACAATGTTCACTAATTCTTCAGAAGGTGAAGAAAAAGAAAACAAATTTCTCACCAATGGGCTGTGATACTTTCCCACCTTTTCCTAGAATCTGTTAATCAAAAGTTGACAATACAATTAGCTGATAACAACTAATTTATCAGGTGATTGGTGAGTTTTTTACATAAATATATTTAGAAGTGAAAGCAATTCACTTGGTATTAAGGCGTTGTTTTCTTTGGACCCCTGGCAAAAACAGGAAGAAGCAGGTTTGAGATATGAATAATATATCCCTAAATTCATACACAAAAAATGGCTGGGCATATATTTAAACAGTTAAATTGGTAATAACTATTAAAAAAATCATGATCAAGTTAATGTGGAGTAGATAAATTGCTAAATTTGAATAGCTTTAACTTATTACAAGTATATATCTCTGAAAGACAGTTTAAAATATTAGACACCTAGTGATAGGTTTTAAAAAGAGAGACAATTGCACATAAGGTAGCACCTCAGCCCACATCCTAGCCTCTTGAAGTAAATACATGCTCAGTGACTTGCATTCTAGAATATCTTCTTTGGCTATGTCTACTGTCTGAGATCCATGAACTCAGAGCCCGGTAATGTCTCTGCGTCTCAAATGCAACAGAGAAGAGCTAAAATGAAGAATTCTCTCAATTAAACAACTTTTCCATAAATTCACTTGTGTTTTAGTAATGTTTTTCTATTTATAAAATAAGAAACATGACTTGTAGAAAGTTGAAGAAGAAAATTTAAACCACTTGCATTCTTCCTCATATAAATAAAATCTCAGTGAATACCTATGCATCCTTTCCACACATACAAACATAATATTTATTTACAAAATTGAGACTATATAAGGAAATGTGTATTTTTCTTAATTTATCTTGAAAATTTACCTGTGACATTAATATTTTCTTGAGCAGGATTTTGTATATACTTTCATATTCATCCACAAATATTGTCAGTGGTGATGAGTACTAAAAGGAATACATAACAGGGTAAGGAGGGAGGAGATTTGGTAGAGGACACTATGTTATTGAGCATGCTCAAGGAAGGTGTCACTGAACATGTGACTTTGAGCAGCAATCTGAAGCACAGTGCTGAAACCCTGACCAGGAGAGTGCCTAGCAGGTTCAAGGAACTGCTGAGAGCCCAGTGGAGCTACAGTGGAGTCAGCCAGAGACAGTATCAGGAAATGAGTTGGAGTAGAAAATAAGAGATGTCAGATGTTGGATGTAGAGATGCCAAGTAGATGCCAAGTAGATATGCCAGGCCTTTTGGCCATCGTAAGGACTTCAGTTTTCACTCTGAGTAAAATGAGAAGACACAAGAGAGTTATGAGCAGAAGAATGATATGATCAGATATCTGTTTTAAACAAATTAGTTTTTTTCTTCTCTGTGGTTAGTAAAGAATATAGAGGTGCAATAGAGAAAACAAATGAACCAACACAGAACATGGAGAATTGTATAAGGATAGTCCAGCTAAGAGCAAATTGTGGCCTGCACCAGATGGTTACCTGTAGGAATAGTGAGGAATAATTGAAATAAGGGTATATTCTGTACATTTGCTGATGAATTAGATACAGAGTATGAGAGAGAGGAGTCAAGGATAATTCCAAAATATTTGACCTAAAAATTGACCCTGGAAAAAGTCAGGGTAAACTAATTTTTTCCCATAAAACCCATATAATAAATACTTTAGGTTTGTAGCCCATACAGTCTCAACTACTCAATTCTGATATTGTAGCATGAAAGCAGCCATACACAACAAATAAACCTATAAGAGTTGCTGTTTTCTAAGAATACTTTAATTATAATAGCACAGTGGGTCGAAATGACCTAGAAGCCACAATTAATTAAAAGCCCTTTAATATAAAATTATCAAATTTATGGACATATAATTGTTTATGGTATTTCTTTATTGTCCAGAAAAACAGAAATATCTGAGTTTTAGCCATATTTCATTTATGGTTATCCATTAATTTGTGCTCCTCCCTAATTTCCCAATCTGCTTACTATTATTTACTTCTCAGCTAGGGGGCAGTGTGTGTGTGTGTGTGTGTTCCCTCTAAATTTTTTAGTTGTGGTCAGTAAGATACAGAGATAGACTGTAGTGGACTTATTCAATCTTGGCCAAAACTAGAATCTTGATTGATTTCAGATATTAATCCTATTTTGCATAACTTAGATAAATCCCGCTTGGCTTTGGCATATTATTCTTTTTTATATATTGCTGGATTTATCTGCTAATATTATATCAAGGATATTTACATTAATGTCCATGAGGGATATAGTTATGTAATGTTCTTTTCCTATAATGTCTTTATCTTCTGGTTTTGCCTTAGGGTAATACAGTAGTACCCCTTTCCTGACGCTTCATTTCTATGGTTTCAGTTACTCACAGTCAAATGCAGCCCAAACAATATTAAATGGAAAGTTCCATAAATAAACAATTCATAAGTTTTAAATTGCATGCCATTCTGAGTAGCGTGATGAAATCTCTTGCCATCCACTCTGTCCTGCCTGAGACATGAATCATCCATTTGTCCAGTATATTCAAGCTGTAGACGCAATCTGCCTATTAGTCATCAACATCTCCTCCTTACTTCCAACCACTGACATTATCATGGTTTGATGATCCAGGATCACCCAAAGTAGATGATCCTCCTTCTGACTTATCATCAGAGGTTCAAGAGTAGCCATATCACGCTACATCACAAGGTGTGCTACATCACAAAATCTGCTACATCACAATGCCTATGTAATTCATCTCACTTCATCTCATCACAAAGGCATTTTATCATCTCACATCATCACAAGAAGAAGGGTGAGTACAGTACAATAAGATATTTTGAGAGAGACTGTATTCACATAACTTTTATTATAGTACATTTTTATAATTGTTCTATTTTATTATTGTTGTTGTTAATCTCTTACTGTGCCTAATTACAAGTTAAAGTTTATCATAGGTATGTATGTATGCAAAAAACATAGTACAGTAAATGTAGGGCTTGGTACTTTCCAAAATATCAAAAAAAAAAAAAAAGACTTTGTCAAAGAAAGGCCACAAGAGAACACCATAAGAAAAAGCAAGTTTGTTTCTTTCTTTTTTTTTCTTTTTTAGCTATAGAAAAGGAGAAAGCAAGTTTGTTTCTAATACCTGTAGGGATCAGGTAAGTACAAATGCTCCCATTTATTACATGTCTGAATATTTATGAGCTAGCAAGTAACATTTTCAGTCAAAATGATAAAAAAACAGGTATTTTTTTCCTCACAGGTAGGAACTTTCTCAACAAATGCTCAAAATAGTGATAATTTCTCATATCACCAACTTCAATGGTGGTCAGTGACTGTGACCTTCTGCCTCCCCAACCCTTATTCCCACAGAGCTTTCCACATTTATGAAGCCCTAGCTCTTATATTACACTCTCATTCCCAGGTTACTCAGAGGGATTCTGTTTTCCTGACTTAACTCAAACTGATGTGGTTGTTAGTATGGGAAGTGTTCTAAGGATAATAGAATCTTCAGAATAAGAACCTGGAGTTGGTTCTGTGATTGATTAAATGTAAAGGCAGTAATGACCCTACAATGATTACATATGGTCAGAGAATTGAAAGGACTCAACAAATTCCTTAGGGTACATTCACATCAAGTATATATAAAGGCAAAACACATGGTAGATCAGAAGAAAGTGACCATGGAAGACCAAGGGGCCCAAGAGACTTCTAGCACAGTTCTCCAGGCGCCTTTCCAATTGCACGGGCCGGGGCTTCCTTCTGGATTATGACCCACAAAGATATGTGCAAGGATCCTTTGTTTCAGGAGATCTTGGGCAAAAGTTACCAGCAGGCTCTTCTATGCTCCACTCACTACACAAACAAAGCCAGGCTGTGCAACTGATTATACCAAGTGTAACTCTTCAATCTGCACACCCCTAAAAAAATGTTAAAAAGTTGGCCCTGGCCCCCATCAAGAGAATTTCACACTTTTTAATAGCACATTAGAAATCATTACCCATCTTATCTTATTCTTATCTTGCCTATGTGTCAATACCAGACTTTCAGATTTCCAGATATAAACACAAATCTGTCCTAGCAAGGCTGTAAGGTAACTCCATCTTGCAAAGACCCCATTGGCACTGGAAAATAAGGCACTGGTAGTCCATGACAAGGAGTAGTAAAACCAAAAGAAAACCTGCATTACTATAAGGATGGTAGAGATTAAGCCCACTTTGAGGGACTTAAAAGATGTGGTGAAGGTTATTCCTATCATGTACCAACTCAATTTAACTATTTGGAATGACTATGCAGAAAACAGATGAATCTTGCAGAATCACATCAGAATGCCATAAATTAATCAAGGTGTAACTCCAGTAACAGCTGCTATTTCAGAAAATCAACAAAATCCCTAGTACCTGATATGCAGCTGCTGATGTGCGAATTCATTTTCTCTCTCTCCTCTCTCTCTCACTCTCACTCTCTCTCTCTCTATTCTAACAAAGAAAGGGACAACAATACACCTCTTCTCTCTTCTTTCAGGAATATATGAACTTATTGGACACTTTTTTAATATATGCTATGAAGATCTTAATAATCTGGCCATTCCACAGACCATAATGATCCACTATGTTAAATGCTGATTGACCTGGTAAGCAGAAGTAACAAATACTGTAGGTCAGTATTATTCAACATGTAGTCTACACAACAATGGAGATTTCAAAATTAGATGTTGCTGATTTGTAATCAATTAAGTACAAAAATTTAGACTAAGCATTTAGAAATTTTATAGCAATTTGAGAGCATGATTTAATGTCTGTTGAATCTAATATTAAACAATCTAAGCTTCTAATTTATATACATTTTATAATTTTATTTTTAGTTATTAATTTTTAACTTTATATTAAAAGTGGCAATCTGAAATGGATTAGGAATTTTAAAATAAAAAAACACTACATACCACAGATAGTTTTACATGCATTGCCTAAAAACAAGAAACAACAAACTAGTCTATTTTCGCATGGCCATGAGCTAAGAATGATCTTTATGTTTTTAAAAGATTATAAAGAAGAGGAAGAGGAGGAAGAAGAACGAGGAGGAGGAGGAGGGGGAAAAGCAGGGGGGGAGGAGACAGAGACTTTATGTGATCTACAAAGCCTAAAATATTTACTAACTTGTCCTTTACAGAAAAATTTATTCAACCCCTACCCTAGACACCTTGGATAGACACATGTATGACAAAGCCTGTGAAATAAACTCCTCACACTTTAGGATACTGTAACTTCTGTAAAGTTTCCATAGTTCCAGTGGTCTAGGCATGTTAATATGTCAGCTCAGAGGTGAAAGACAAACTCATATACCTGGCACCTACCACCACCAAGAAAGAAGTACAGTGCCTATTAGGCCACTTGGAGTTATGAAGGCAACATTTGACAGACTTGGACATGGAGGATACTTGGATACATTTATCAAGTAACTTGGAAGGTTTCTAGTTTTCAGTGGAAGTCAAGGAAAGAAAAGACTCTGTGACAAGCCCACACTGCTCTTCAAGCTGCTGGGCCACTTGTGCCATATGATGCAGTGTGCTCCAGTAAATGAAAGTGTGTGATAGGAATGTGGATGGAGCCTCTGGCAGGACCCTATGAATAAATCACCATGCAGACCCTTGGGATTCTAGAGTCAATCATACCTTTTTCTGCAGAAAACCATTCTCTTTCTGAATTACAGCTTCTGCTATACACTGAGCCTTGAATACTTGATATGAGCCCCAGAGTTACTATGCAACCTGAACTCCTCATCATAAGTTGAGTACTATCCGAACCACCAGGCCATAAAGGCTGATGTGGTGGCAGCAATCCATCATCAAGCAGAAGTGGTATATTCGAGATTGTGTTCCAGAAGCATGAGCAAGTGCTTTAGACTTCTATGGTGCCTACACCTGTTGTACTGCCTCTTCTCCCTTACCTCATATAGCCTCATAGAAAATTGTTCACTGAAAGCGGAATATGGTTGGGCATGCTTTACAAATGGTTCTGGAAGGTCATGTAAAACCACCCAGAAATGGATGGCAGCAGTGGTCCTGACGGGTAACTGCTTAAGGGATATCTCTGTTGCCTAAAAGATGAGATTGCCTGGAAAATGAGAGATAAATCTAGACTTGTTTGTGGGCAGTTACTAACAAACTGAATGGCCAGGGATTTAAAAAGTACAAGATGGAAAAATTTGAAAAATTGGTCAAGAGATGAGGTATATGGACAGATATTTCATAATGGCACAAAGTAGGGGGCATAGTTGTGTCCCACATAACTATAGTAGGGAGTGAACATAGCAGAGCAGGCTCTCAACAATGAGATGTACAAAATATTCTATTCTGTAAATATCATGGCCAGAGTTGTAGAGATTATATATAGTCTCAAAAACACACATTTTCATTCATCATAACTGATATGGCTATATCCACTGCTGAGGGAACAACTTGTCAATAAAATAGGCACCAATGCCAAGTCCCCACTAGGCAAACTATGACTATCTGATATACTTGTTTAGGACAAAGGAATTATGGAATAGATAATGGAAGGCACACATTTTAAATACCAACTATGGCCATGTGACAAGTTACTAGTAAAAAGGGCTAGTAATTGCATATTTTCTTTATTATTTTATATGCATATATTTGTATAAATTAACATCCCCTTTCCTTCCCATACCACCAAATATAAAATATGCTCAAAGTACTGTACTCTTATTACAATATTTATGTCATAAACTATCAGAAATGAATAAGTGACATATGAGCTTTTGCACCTTCCCTTTTGGGGAAAAACAAAAACAACATGTTTACACTTGAATTAAGGTTAATTTCATCATGTTAGTTGGAAGCAAGATATTGTATTTGTCTTTATCCAGAAATTAAATATAAGGAGAAGTATTGTACATGATTACTGAGTTGATAAATGGGTGAATTGTGTTAATTTGTCTGTTATCAACTCAGCATCACCTCTTCTTCCCTCCTCTGCAATGCAGAGAGGTAGCTCAAAACTCTATTTTCCAGGATCCCCTATTTTGTATGTTTTTAAGTTACAATTCTCCAATTAGAGAAACTCTTGCAATATTTTGCAGGCAGAATTCAGGAGAGATCATTATTCTTGGGAGTTCAGGATGACCAGATTCATGGAAAGATGAGGATGCCCTGCAACTTCCCAGGCAATCCAAATGCACTCACATTTTGGGGGTGGCCTGACAGTCGATAGGAGCTTTCCCAGACATACTGATATTACAGTAGTTTCCTGCAACCTTTTAGGAATCATCTGCTCTAGTGCTTTAGGGTGATTAGTAGTAACTATTTCCCTGACCATACAGTTGAAGATTTCCCAATGTTCACTCTCTCAACATTTTGACAATTGCAAAAACTCTTATTCCTTTAATAAATGTCTGTTTCTCATAATCACTAAAGTAGTTCTGTTTGCCTGACCAAATCTAGATTGAAACAAAATCATTTGTCTTTTATTTTATCTATGTGCTTTTTCCATTCAAATCCTCTCTGTATTCAAAGCACTATACATCTGTGATATTGGCAGCAGTACAACTGATAAACTTTTATGGCATCTGGATATGGCTGCCTTTTGTTTTGAAAATATAGGCCAAGGTGTAGAGAAGTGCTTTCCCTGAATCTTGAACAGTATTAGTCATTAAAATGGATATTTATGGTTTCGGATTGTACTGTGCCAGTGCTGAGTCCTGGATCTCAAGTGACATAGTAAGCATGTTCTCTTTTTTTTAATTGACACACAAAAATTGTATATATTTATCATGTATAAGATATTGTTTTGAAATACACACACACATTGTGGAATGGCTAAATCAAGCTAATTAATATAGGCATTATCTCACATACTTATCATTTTTTTGTGGTGATAACATTTAAAATCTAAAACATCTAAAATCTCTTAGCAATTTTCCAGAATTCAATACATTGTTATTAACATAGTCACCACGTTGTTCAATAAATACTTGAACTTATTTCTCCTATCTTACTGAAATGTTGTATCTTTTGACCAATATCTCCCCAACTCCTACCCCTATTCCCTTATAACCACCATTCTAGTCTCTACTTCTATGAAATCAACATTTTTAGACTCCACATATAGATCATTCTGTATTTGTCTTTCTGTCCCTGGCTTATTTCACTTAAAATGATGTCTTCCAGGTTCATTCATGTTTACACAAATGACAGGATCTCCTTCCTTATTAAGGCTGAATAGTAGTCCATTGTGTATATGTACTACATTCTCTTGATCCATTGATGGACATGGAGGTTAATTCCATATGTTGGCTACTGTGAATAATGCTGCTATGAACATGGGAGTGCAGACATCTCCTCAACACGTTAGTGTCATTGTTTTTGGATATATACCCAGTAGTGGTATTCCTGGATAATATGGTATTAATAGTTGTTCTATTTTAATTTTTGAGGACCCTCCATACTTTTTTTTCATAATGACCATATTAAGTTCCCATGAACAATAAGCAAGGATTTTTTTTTCCACATCCTCTCCAATACTTGTTATTAATACTTTTTGTTTTTTTGATAATGGTAGTTCTACAGGCATGAGGTGATATCTAACTATGGTTATAAGTTCTTAAATAAATGTATTCTTTGTGGTTTTTAGGCCCTGTAAAGTCAGGACCTATGACAGGGGTCTGTCTTGCCCCAATATAAAGGCTATTCTAACAGCAAGAATCATCTGGCCAAAAAGACTACAAAGGGAACTAGTGTAGATGCCATATCTTCTGGTCTATGTGTTATCAACATTTTAAAAGCTTTCACAGTCAGAAACTAGAATGTATTATTTACATATTTATGTAAAACCATTGAAATATATGTGGTGATTCATTCATGCTGTTCCATAAATAAAAGCAACTACATAAAATTAGTCACAAGAGCATAAGTCACAATCTCCCTTTATTACTCACATCAAAGGCCCTAAAGGAACATGCTATATCCTCTCACAGTGATTCATTGGAGGCAAAAATGCCCACAAATTGTTTTAAGCCTTTTGGAATTATACATCAGAAATGCTCCCAATAAACATGCTTAAAGTAGCCAACTGAGAAATCAACCAAACTACATATATGCTGCAGTGCATTTGTTGGACACATTCCACTGGATCAGTGTTATATAACCCATACAGAAGACATCAATTGCTACTCCAGCAGTTAAGAATATTTCAGGCTCATTTTAATCCTAAAATTAAAGGCATAGAAAAAAATGTTGAGAAATCTTAAAGTTCATCAAAATTAGACTTCAAAAAGAACAGAATCCAATCTCTTTAGACTCTAGGAAAGTGATATCCCTTCTTTCTCTGCTACCATTCTCACTGTTGGGTATCATTTGAATTCTTGAATATGACTCTACCTATATCATTTCTGTTGCTATTTCCTGTCCTTTGTTCCACAGTTGCAAGGACAGCTTACATCCTCAATGTCAATTAATACATTAAGGTTGGTTTATTTCTATGTATAATTGTCCTCTGCATCTTAAAGGAATTGATTTCAGGACCTCTCTCAGATACCAAAATCTATGGATGCTCAAGTCCCTTATACAATATAAAATGGCATAACATTTACATATAACCTATGCACATTCTCCCATATACTTTAAATCATCTCTAGATTAC